GGTGAGAGGAGACTTCCAGGAGCCATAGGGAGCAGTGATCGGTTCTTCTTGAGCTGTAAGAGCAGCAGCATTCTTATGGTGTTGCTAGGATTGTTGTGTTAGCCATTGCCTCGCAGCTTTGATGCAGCAACTCAGTTATGGTGCGACAAAGGCGAAAAAGTCTTGTCCCTAAGTGATGGAATTTGTTGCGATTAAGGAAACTGGAACCAGCAGAAGCATGCCAGCAGCTTTACGCAATGCAGTTGGCAAACCAGATAAAAAGAGATTCCGTTGACCTTATTTTGCTGAAAAGAAAAAATTAAATTAAAAACGCTGGGATGGCAACGACTTGATTTGACGCCCAGGAGGAGGCCCAGCTGGAAACAGGCCTTCTCCTTTCGGATCTTTTCCCCTTCGATTTTGTTTCATTTTTGTTTTAGAAAGTATTTGACGAATGAAGAGGGTGCGCGCGCGCGGCCTTCTCAATTTTTATTCCTTTTCTCATTTCCATTGAAGGCAAAACAATCGTTTAATGCTTTCGAAAACTCAATTGCTCTTTGAAACGGATCAGAAGTCTTGTATAAGTCTAGCGATTTTGATTAGGAGGGGGGGGGGGGGGGGGGAGGCAGCAGCAGCGGCTTAAACCCAGTGAAAGAAAATATCTTGCAGCCGAAGGAAAAATTATTCTTAACCCAAAACGAAAAAAGGGACAAGAACTCTTTTCAGAGATTTGTTTTTTTTTTGTTTTTTTTTTTTGGGGGGGGGGTGTTCAGCCAGCCTTTCTGCCATGGGCCATTGTCAATGTGCCATGTCCATGAGCCGCTTTCCATTTATCCAATACAAACAGTTAATACAATTTTACTTTTTGTAATTTTGTAAATACGAGTCTTTCATATTTTTGGTCATGAGCTTCGTAAATGCAAATGGATTCAACATTCACCTGTAGGCGACTAGGCGTCATCCCCGTTAAAGATCTAGAAGTATACAGTATATCATATTTATTCCACTAATTTCATCTGCATGACTGACAAAAGTTTGACGCCAAAGCTCAAGAAAATAAATTGTTCATCCTCGTAGCACTGAACACTGATGGATACCTTCAGCAGATGAGTCAGAGTATGCTGTCTCTCAGTCAATTATCTCTGACCTAAAATTCATCAGGCAATCAATAAAATCCAATCCATAAGTTGCTTCTGTAAACAACTAATCAGGAAAGCCAGCACGCTTCATCACCTTTTGAAGACTCATTCTCAGTCAAAGTTATCAATTTTAATGGGTATAATCTCATCAGCAACGTTTGAAGCGCCCAATCAATCGTGCAAAGAACAACATTTGTTGTTCAGTGTAAACTTTATGTTTTCAGCCTGCATTCATCCCATTGTTATAGACATAGCTATTGTTTCCGACATAAATAGACAATCAAGTAAATCAGCATTTACCTTTCGGAAACCATGTTGTTCTCCTTCATACTCAACAAGGGCCACCGGGACACCCTTTTCTTTCAACGCGGTAAATTTTCCGAGCTTGATCTGGAGGCACAACCTACAAAAAGCAGAATACGTTTAAAGTAAACTTACGAGTATGCCACCTTAATCCTCAGACGTTCGAAGGGAAGAAATAATAATTGCATTGTTGCTAACCTTGTCCTCCAATCCTTGAAATAAAAATGGGACAAGAAAATTTTTCTACATGGTTGATTGGGGATCTCTCAAAGAATGCTTTTCACCTCCTGCAATCAGTTAAGCGATTAACTGAAGACTAAATATGTCAGAAGAAACCAGATTGTTACCTTAAAAGATGATATTGCTAACTCACCAACAAGATTATCGATGTAATGGGATTCAAATTTATGAGTCTCAGCGCTCAACATTTTCAGATCGGCCACCTGTTTCAGAGATCAATTGGCATTCATCCCATAGTGCAATCATACTAATACTTTGTTAAATTATATGGGTATACATACATACATGTGTGTGTGTGGTGTGTGTGTGTGTGTGTGTGTGTAAAGCTCAAAAATTCCAAAGTTCCAATGTAGTCTACTCCGTTTGGCCAAAAAAATAAATGTAGTCTACTCCGACAACGTAAGCAAACATGCAGCTATATCTGTCTATCAGAACTCAAATGTCTTGTCAGGAGAATAAAATGATAGAAATGAAATTTATTAACGAGTCAACAAATGCATTCATCTTGAGTTTTCAAGAGTAAAGCTTTATTTTCTTTATTATGCAAACTAACTGTGCTATTTTGGCATTCTCAATCATGAGTTGGCTACTTATTTCAGCAAAATCATTCCTCAGAGAGCAAAAAATATGAACTTCTTTTATCATTATTTTCCAACGTTGTCAAATTCCCTCTTCACTAATGACCAAAAAAAGAAACCTTGTTCACCATCAAGATAATGCATATCACTGACAAGTCAGAAACCTATAGCACTTGCTATTTTAATGCTTAAAAATAATGAGAAAGAAATTGAGAAAGCTGAAATCATTAGATAAAACAAGAAAGCTTATTTAGAACTTACACCATACAAGGAAGCCCCAGCTTTAAATGTTTCTTTAAAAGCAAGAGCAGCTAAGGTGGTATACCCCCCAGCAGAGCCCCCAGTAATACAAAGTCGTTCCCCATCTACCTTTCCACTGTCCACCTGGATAACAAATCATTGATGAGACTAATCGTCCAGAAAATCCACATACCAGAACCTAGGCAAGCCTAAATGGACAACATTCTCACAAATGCTTAGCACAGTTGCAACAGTCATCAACGTCAACTATTCCCCAACGACCCAAAAGTCTTTCTCGATACCCTCTGCCATAACCTTCCAAATGATGTTCTCATCAGAAAACACATTCCATAAGACATTCAACAGGTCATAGTAATATGAACTCGATCAGGAAAAAAAGGCAATAGCAAAAAGGCTTGTAGAAACCATCTGCCTCAAACATGTTAAAGAATATTAATTTGTGGCCAAGGAGGGGAACAAACCAGTGCTTCCACCGTAGTTAACATCTGCAAATGCCCAACCCCGACTGGTCCAGTACTGAATGTTAAGGTTCAAAATGCCACGTGTTTCAGCTGTTGGTCCTCCTAAAATATTCAGTGAAAAACCATGCATATAAATACGGCTGAGGTACTCGGTCAAAATATTATATGAACCTCACCTGGCAGGTTCTCGAACAGTGGAAAAGTGCAATGAGCATGATGATCAGGTGTTCCAATATTTTTTGCTAGAATTTGATTCACTTAAAACTTCACCAGCTTTCTATATATCACATTCAAATTCTAATTAGGTTTCAAAACATATATGATATAACTTCGGTCTATTAGTTTTTCGGAGAGTTCATATTGATTTTATTCCTTAAACTTAAATAAAACTTGGCAATATAATAAATATAAAGTGGCATTAATACTGGCTCCAATATTGGTACATCATCCACTGAGAAGATTTATGGTAAAATTGTAAAGAGAAACAAAAAAACACGCTATCTGCTCAAAGTCTGCAAAACTGTTGGCACTGACTAGCGGGAAAAATAAAAGAGCATAGGCAATAAACCAAAGCTACCACGTATTTAACAATATCAACAAAAGAAAAATGATGCATCACCGCTACTATTTCCCTTATAATACACTCATGAACCTCATAATACACATAATTATTTATGGTTTTACAATTAAATCAGTGAGGATATTATATCCTTTCTAAGTAGTCACATGAAACAAAACTACATGATCACTAGTTCCTGCAAAAACACCCTTTTCTAGTCTCTCTAACATGTCAGTGATGAATGAGAATATGAAATCGAAGATTAATCCTGATACAGGACTAAGATAAGAGAAAATACCATGGCTCTTCAATAACAAAGGAGGCTTCTCCCTTGACTGGCTTGATAAGTAGGATTACATGGTGGATAAAAGTAACCATAGGCATTTTGACCAGGAACTTCAGTGGGGAATTCAATCAGCTCTGGCTTACTGAAGTATGAACTATATTTTAAACTATCCGGTGAGGAGGACCACACAATATTGAAGCCAACAGCATTTAATTTCTGATCATCTAAAGCCACCTGAAAAGCGAGAGGTATAAGGGGGCATTGAAATAACTCAGACATTGAAAGGAGGGCAAGAAGGCAGCACCTTTGCCACTGATGATGGATGAACTGCGGATGCTCCCTCTACATATAGACCATCTTTACCTGAAGTCTGCATCGACGTGTCGTATTATTTTTGGGTTACCACCTTAAAAATTTCCAGACAAGCGAAAAGAAGTAGAAAAACAAAGAAACAATTATTTAAAATTACAATGTTATCAATGTCTGTGAAAGGGATATCAAGCACGATAATTTTTGAGCTTTCAACGATATCAATAGTTCCAAGATATGACCTCCCCTGTTGCCTATATACATGACCAAGAACCTTAAATGAGCTATAATTGATGACACTTGGAAACCAACTATAAAAAAGAAAAGATAAAAAGAAAATGGAAAGAAAGTAGCAATCTAGAAATTACCTGTAGCTGCAAGCAATTAAATTTCTCTGTTTATCATTCTGAATAAATTCATAAGAATTTGTACCAAAAACCCATAATGGCCTTGAAAACTCAGCATCCAAAGAACAAACAGGCACCACCTTATTCTCTGACTCAATCTACAGCCAATTAAAAGAAAACCAAAATAGGAAGAATCAGTAAATTCATCAATGATTATTGTATGTCCAACAAGAGAACATGTTGATGCACACCCATTTTTTCCACATTTATTTAGTCAACGTGGTATTTGAGATAAGCAGAAACGAAACAGATGATCATACTTGGAAAAGCAAACTATCAGCAGGGAGCATTCGTATCTGTATCGTTTAACAATTCGGTACTCAAATCCAGTAATAGGAACAACATAGCAGTAAATAATTAACGATATAATGTATAAAATGTTAATTTGGCAGATTTCAAACTGACTATGGTTGTTAGAAGGAAGAAAACATACATATTAGAAACTGTACTTGGTCAAAACCATTTATTATAACTGGCAAATGGAAGCACACAACGTTGGCTTTAAAAATTTCATGCTAAAAGTATGATGCTTTTCAATGAACTGTTCTATTTCTGAGTACTAAAATCACAATTTTAACATACCCCCGAAAGACGATAATATCATTACCTTAATGAAGTACAGTTAATCTCAAAGTAATAAATGGGCATTCATCAATGATGAAAAGAAAAACATAATAGAAGCCAACATTTATAGTTAATGTTACAGAAATAATAAGAAAAAGAAATTTACCCATTTATGGAGATTCCAAAAGCCATTTCCCCTATCAGTAATGAAAAATAGTTCACCTGCGCAATTAAAATCATCAAAAAAAATTGTTTGACTTAAAAGTTAGAATGCCAAGATCATTGCAACTTTTCTAGTTGGAGTAACAAAATCTTAAGAACTCAGTGACAGTATACATAAATTTATAATATTCACGGAGGGCAACATGCCTCTCTAAAAACAACAATATCCATTTACGCACCAAGAGTGTGGGTAGCCAACATAATCACGTGCTTAATTACTTATGTTAATGGGGCAAGTTTCTATACCATCAGGGGACCACTTGGGCTCAGTTACAGACTCCACAAGTGACGGATCAACACCAGCAATGCAGCTGCGCTTGTAGATCTCTCTGCATAGAATCTTAAGATGATTAAACTACTAATTGAAACATGACACACATAGAATAGAAAACTGTCACTAACTGTGATAAGAATTTGAAAAAAGCTGTCACACAAAATTTGAAAACTAAAATCCCAATAAAAAAGAAGCCTCGAGTTTCAAAATGCTAGTTCTTATGTGATTAGTTTTAGGGTCAACTGGAACAAAATAAACCCAACACAAAATTGGTTTTACTAAAATCAGTTTATATTTCAATTTGAGTTTTATGTGTATAGTCGTAGCGTTCACAAGTTACTTGAATGCCTGTAATAATGTCAGCTATTCCTATCAAAACATGGAATACAATAGCCATAGCACATCATGCAATAGAAGTGTATAATGAGAGTATATTTCATTATCAATTCAATAAGAGAACCAACTTGGTAAACAAACTGAATTCTTCCGACTGATTTATAATTCCTGCTCACCCATTTTCAGATATATAACCAATCCAGAGTTCTGATCTATCCCAGGGCATGTTAGGGTGATTCCACTGAATCCATGCGATTCGTTCTGCTTTTGGATCAAAACGTGGGAAAGCATAGAAGTCACATCCGCCAACTAATACTTCGGGTTCTGAAATGTCACAACAAAATCTTGATCAGATAATGAGTGGAAACATAAAAAAGCAACTGGAGAACCTATGGACATCATAATGGAATACGTATTCACAGTATTCAATCAAACCGCACAGTTGAGAGTTCAGACTCGGATAACATGGAATTTACTACCTTGAACATCCTTATTGCCAAGAGCTATTGATACAATTGTTGTCGTTGAATTTATATTGCTCTGCCGACGATCTACCAAAAAGATATATCACCAAACAGTTGAGTGATTTAATAGGCGCAGATGTAGCGGGAACATTCTAAGGTAAGCAGTAGAGACAAAGGCTTTTTCTTTTCATTTAAAGTTATTCTCAGCTCACCTTCTCGTACACAGACATAACGGTTAAAGCGTGCATCCAATACTCCATCAGCATAGCTGACTACTGGTCCCCCATAATCTGGCGTGAGCGGGATGGGAGGAACATCTGCAAGGTACGGACCACATAATTTCAGTATTAATTATATTACATGAAGTTCTGTAGAGTGTAGAGCAAGCATATTATAAAACTGCCATCCCCATTCTCTACCTAAGTTCTCCTACATCACCGCTTCACATACACCTTCGAGAGCACCAAGTAAAGGTGGTGCAGCGCAGAACTACCCAAAAAGGTAAAAATCGCGGCACAAGATTGCCGCTAGTAAAATCTGTTCGGATTTTTTTAAAACAAAGTTATAACTTCACTTTCAAGAAGGGGAGATGATGACTATGCTCACCTAGAGAACTTATAGATTGCTTGTACAGTCTCTGATCCTTGTAATTTGCAAAAATAACAGTATCTCCCGAAACACTGAAGGCACCACCTCCATACTCCTGAGCGACTGTTCGCACTGCGAACTCTTTAGGCGTGATATCGATGGGCTCATCTCCTGCTTTTTCCGGCTCTCGAACAAGGACTGCCCTCCTGAAACACAATCACTGAATCGATTTATTTCGATAACTCTAAATTGCAAAAGATAGCGAAGACAGGTCAGAGAGGTTTACTTGAGCCAGTGATAAAGAAACAGAACAGCATATAACACTCATACCCGGACTCGGTGGGGCGGGATTCCAGCCAAATGAGGCGACCATGATCGTCAACGGCAGTGCCACCGAGTCTCTTGGAAGCGCCGGAGACAACATCGGCGGTGAGAGGAGACTTCCAGGAGCCATAGGGAGCAGTGACTAGTTCTTTCTGAGCTCCCGGTGCAGCAGCATCCTTGTGGTGTGGTCTTGGTACGGTAGCCATTGCCTTGAAGCTTTGATGCTGCGACTGAGTTATGGTGCCAACAAAGGCGGCAAGTCTTGTACTGAAATGGTGGGATTTGTGGCGATTAAGGAGTCTATAACGTGCAGAAGCATAACAAGGAAGGATTCTGCCTGCGGCGAACGTAGTCATCCACTGGAATTAAGGAATCGCTGAGGA